AAATAATCTCATTTCGATTAATGTCACTTTAATTGGAAAAACTCCCCTATCCCCTCGAAAAAAGGAGGTGTGACACTATGTTTGGTATTTGGATTGCATGCACTTAATTTTGACATTTTTAGTTATTGTTCTGCTAATATTAACCTAAATATTATATATGGCCTTCACAGGTAGCTGAGGGATCTAAAACAACAAGTGAAGCTATTGGGATCGACGTCGACAAAAAAATATTTGATAGGTATAGCTCTTGTCAGTTACCTTTATCCTTTCTTTTGAGCAGTCTTCTTTTTTTAAAGGTAATTGATTCTTTCTTAGTATTGAGTTACCTCCTAATAGTGTGAATTTGTCATTAGATGTTGGATTCTTGTATGTTTTAACTTATAACTTACGAAAACTAAGTTGAAGATATAAATAGTTCTCGCAACAAAGTAAAGATTAGTACTCAGTCTTTTTTATAAGTTCTCTTAAGGTAGATAGCATAATTACATGATAAAAATGTGTACTCGGGATTATGGGTCATATACAAAGTATCAAACAGAGTGCATTGTTGATCTAACTTTTGCTGCAGATGTTTGCCCATGGGCTATATTGTTGATCTAACTTTTTTTAGGCAGATTAATCCATTTTTATATCTGTTTAACTGTTTATATAGAGGTAGTAAGCATTGATTTAACTAGAATTCAAGAAGTTCTTGTACATATGTTCTTGTGCATGTTGTTACGTTACTATCACAAATACACATAAGTACATATATAGAACAGACCAGCATGTGTGGACATTAGCAAAGACTGCAGACTGGACAAAAATAAAATCTGTCCAGTGAACTAAGCAGACTAGTTATTTTGTTTTTTATTGTAACTGCCCATTCTGCAATGCTAATATTGAAAAAGTTGTACCTTTATGGCTGTATTTCTTACTATTATATCTTTGTCTTTCCCACTTTTTATCATTGCATATCTCAATATTTTAAAGTTCTTGTGTAAACCAAAGCAGCCATAACATAGTAAAATGTCATTGTTGTCACCTTTGAATATTGTTACAAAAACTATATTTTAAGAATCACTTCATTTTTTTATTTGGCAATACAGAGTGACCTGTAATCGGGAGTGACTTATACATATAAAGTAGCTTACATGTATTTTCACTTACTAGAACTAAGTTGAAGATATAGAAAACTTTTAGATGGTAGTTCTAACATGCTGTATTTTTTGTTTTTCCCTGAATAAGTTGTATCCTATTTTTGTTTTTCTTTGTTTATTTCTCGCTTTGGTTTTTCTTTACATATTCTTTAGAAGATATGAATTAAATTTTTCATTTTGATATTGTGATGTTATCTTATGTCTTCCTTTCTATAGTCATGCGAATTGATAAGTCTTGGATTAGCAAACCGCGTAATACACCGGAATATGCAGATGGACTAAGAAAGTTTTTGGATTTTGATTTTGAGCTTGGTTCTGTTGATGGGCGCGTAATTAAGTGCCCGTGTCCAAAATATGATTTTAACAAGTGGCAAAGAAGAAATGTAGTTCAAGAGCACTTGATTTGTAAGCCCTTTCCAAAAAACTACAAATTTTGGTATTGGCATGGTGAAGAATCAAATGCAACAGGCTTCTCAGAGCACACATGTAATAATGGATATTTTAGAGCCCCAAGATCCAATGATAAATGATGCATTTGGGTTTGCCAGGAACAATGTCAATGAGCCTGGTGTGTTTTCTGATTATATGAATAGAGAAGAAACATTTAATGAAGAACACATTGAGGGGCATAATGAAGATTATGCAAAGTTCTATGATTTTGTCGAAGATGGCAAACAACCATTATATGAAGGGTGTACGAAGTATTCCAAATTGTCCTTTCTAATCAAATTGTATCATATAAAGTGTCTTTGTCGAATGACTGACAAAGCGATAAGTATGATATTAGAATTGTTAAAAGATGTCTTTGAAGATGCCAAGATTCCTGGTTCCTTTTATGAGGCCAAGAAAACTATCATCAAATTTGGTCTTAATTATACCAAGATACATGCTTGCCCAAATGACTGTATGTTATATTTTGGCGAAGATGAAGGTTTACAAGAATGCAAAATATGCAAGACATCTAGGTGGAGGGATAATAAGAAAAAGCAGCCCGCAAAGATTTTGCGTTACTTTCCACTAAAGCCAAGGCTGCAAAGATTGTTCATGTGCTCTAAAACTGCCGAGTCTATGAGATGGCATTCTCTAGAAGGTAGCCAAGATGGATTGATGAGGCATCCCAGAGATTCTCAGGCTTGGAAAACTTTTGACCTACTTCATCCAGAATTTGCTGCAGATCCTCGGAATGTACGACTATGCCTAGATAGTGATGGTTTCAATCTTTTTGGAGCAATGGCAACAAACTATAGTATCTGGCCAGTGGTTCTTATTCTATACAACCGTCCTCCTTGAGAGTGTATGAAACAAACTTCATTCATTCTCTCAATGATCATTCTAGGAAAACAAATGCCAGGCAATGACATAGACGTGTATTTACAACCTCTTATCCAAGAGTTGAGAGAATTATGGTACGATGGAGTGTAGACATTAGATTCTTCAAAGAATAAAATATTTCAAATGCGAGCAGCTTTGATGTGGACGATTAGTGATTTTTCTGGGCTTGGTACCTTATCTGGATGGAATACATACACTCAATTTGCTTGCCCCACATGTAACTTTGGTATAGACTCTTGCAGATTGAAGCACACTAGAAAGTGGTATTTTATCGGTCATCGTCGTTTTCTGGAAAGCGGCCATCGATTTAGATTACCACATGTTCGTTTTAATGGACAAGTCGAGCAACGGGCGCCACCAATTTCATTATCAGGGTCAGACATCTTGAGACAAGTGGAGGAAATTAATGTCAATTTTGGAAAAATACCTGATTTGAATGATAAAGGTAAAAGAACTCGACGACAAACTGTTAATGAAGACAGATCGAGATAGTGGAGAAAGAGGAGCATATTTTTTGATCTTTCTTATTGGGAAACGAACTTGTTGCGTCATAATATAGACCTTATGCACATTGAGAAGAATGTATGTGAGAATATGATATATACTTTACTCAATGATTCTGAAAAATCAAAAGACAATCTTAAAGCTCGGAAGGATCTTAGAGAAATGGGTATAAGGAAAGAACTTTGGGCAGATGAGAACGGAAACTATCGTCTATCCTTGTTTACTATTTTAAATACAAAGAAAGGTGGATTCAAGAAAGATGTATTTTTGCGGACCTTAAAGAATGTCAAAATGCCTGATGGATATACAAGTAACATTTCGAGATGTATCGATTTGAAACAACGGAAGATCTTTAATATGAAGAGTCGTGATTTTCACATTCTCATGCAGCACTTATCACCAATTGTCATACGGAATATTCTATCTGACAAAGTGACTGCAGTGTTAATAGAGTTGAGTTCTTTCTTCCAACAACTATGTGCCAAAAGCTTAAGTCTTTTAGACCTTGATAGGCTCCAGTCTCGACCTTTTCTCATCATGAATCACTTATTCATGAATCACTTGAATGTGATTCTCTTCAGATTTGCTTGTTTGCATACATGTGCATGACTGGGATTGATTGCAACTGTGATTTTCGTGTGTGTAAAAATCGAATCTTTATTTGAGTTTTGTACATTTTGCTCTCTGATCTCTCACATTGTGCTTCTTACTGCAGTTAGTTGCGATTCAGAAAATAGTTGATGCTTCTTTCTGGAACTTAAGTCCCAGTGTGAGTGCATATATGTTGTGATGAGTCTGAAGTATCTAAATTTGAAGTTAAGATTTGATATACAGGTTTTATCATAAGGATAATTTCTTAATTTATGCTTCTTTCAAATCTTGTAGGAAAGAATTGAAGAAATTCGAAGGCAAAGATCTGACAATCTTAAAGAAGCTTCACCTAGTGATGCACTTGGTGTAGTATTCGGTCCCGAGCACCCTGGTCGTGTTCGAGGGTTAGGCTTGGGTGTAATTCCAATTATAGCATTCAAACAGACATCTGGGAGACCCCGTCGTGGTTATGTGGGTTCAGCTAGCACTAGCGCTCCAACTCCTGAGTGGCAGCAAAAGATGACAAATCGCAATTAAATACACACTTAGCTTATATCAAAGGAACATAGAAAATATCCCTGAGTAGTTTGCTCACTTATTTCTGACTCCTCTACAGGTATGCTGGAGTTTGAGGGTTAAATTATGCAAGTCTTATGTAGTTGCACGTGCTTAATCATTTTTATTTAGGCAACCTGAAAATCATTTAGCTGCTATCTGAAGTTCATATGAAATCAATTACACCATTATACATGAGATTTTATTCTCTTTTATAATTTTTGAGTGGAAGTTTCAACTAATAAGTGCACACTCATTTCTGATGGGAAGTCTGAAATCTGCACTTTTGTGAAGAATTGTTTGGTAGTTAGTAAAATCTTGGAGCTATATTGTTGAATTCCTTTGTGGTTTTGCTGAAAATTGGAATTTGTTTTTCTAAAGTGGTCTTTTTGACAATACTCACCAAAGGATTAGCTTAGCTCTATATGTTGCTATATGGCTGCTAGTAGTCGCTGGGATTTTACGGACTGATAAGTAAATGGTATAATCTCAGGTTGGATGCTGTGAATGTCCCTTAAAAGCAATCTTGATAGTCTTATCTTGCAAATCTTGCTGCTACCCCTGCTCTTGCCTTCCTCTGTTTTGTTGCTATTAGGGGTGTCACTTTTCTCTTTTCTGATTTTGGTCAAAGATCACAGAATCAAAGAAAGTTATTGAGAAGAAGAGCAGAGAGTAGAAACCAGACAAAGTTTGAAAGCTATCATTCATATCATAGTTGTGCCTGACTCTTTGGCTTCACTTTCGAATGAAGAAAAAAAAATTGGGGGCACAACTTCTTTAGAAGCTTTAGAGTCATACCTAACTTCATTGTTTTGCTAAAAGACAGAAGAAACTAAAAGCTTAGAACAAGAAGTAGAATTTTGACTTAAAAGAGCCATTTCAGGCTAATGCTTAAGTGCAAGGACAAAAGGGTTATAAAAGTTAGTTAACAGTGAAGAAAGTAACTGAAAGGATGGAAATAGCATGACCAACATAATTTAGCATACAATACAAAGTACCTGCACAGTTCAAGCTTAGTAAATATTGCTAACTTTCCAAATAGATATTTTATTTGGAAATCATCAAACACTCTCCTTCTCTCTGTATACTCCAGTATTACTCATCGATCATGTCCTTTTTTTCCCTCAACATTTTCATATTGATTCTTGGTCACTGAAATTTTCCTTGCGAATCGACCAATTTCCTGATATGCATTCTCTTGAGCAGGAAATCAAGTGACTGACTAATATTACACTGGTCGTGCATACAAAATGGACTTCTCTTCTAAGTAAAGAAAAAACTGTCCAAACTAGTGGATTTGCTTAGGAAAATGATAATTATTTGCTGACGGAATGGTAAATGAATACAGAAATTCCTTTACTTGATTATTTGTTAGTTTGTAAGAATAACTAGTAACTGTCGAAGCAATTTTTTTTCCCTCTCTGTTGGATTATATGAGCAATTGGACCCTATGACAATTATTTTTTCTTCACTTACAATATAAATCCATTTTCTACGCACGATTCCTTATGGGCAGTAGTAGGTTGTCAAGAGATGCGTAAAGGTTGGAAAGTTAGGTTTCTCAAGGAGAGGACAAAAATGCATGTTCATGTAAGCTCTTTCCAACTTTTAGTGTCTATATCATATTATGCAGCTATATATCTAACACTTCATACTCTACTTTGTAGTCACTATTGATTGAATGTTATTTTCTAAAAAGTGAATGTTTGTCAGTTTTCCAGTCTGGTTTGTCGGTTTATCGAGTTAATGTTTTGCTGCTATTTTTAGGAGTACAAAGTTTTAAGAGAATTAGTCCTCTCAATTTACTTATTGACTGTATTTTTTTCAGGCACCAGATCTAGGAAGTGATGCATCGTCACCACTTGATCAAAGAAGATCTTTAGATGAAAGTAATAATGCTATTTTTAGGAGTACAAAGTTTTAAGAGAATTAGTCCTCTCAATTTACTTATTGACTGTATTTTTTTCAGGCACCAGATCTAGGAAGTGATGCATCGTCACCAGTTGATCAAAGATCTTTAGATGAAAGTAATAATGATGATCGTCCAAGTGCCAATTAGTAATTATTATTATTAGGATCAACTATGACTTTTTAGGGTATTATTGTTGAAGAATGTAATGTTCATGATACTTGTGTTGGAATACTTGAAACATTAATATTTTGATGATGTAATGTTGGAATACTTGTGTTTTATATTATAAAAATATTGCTTATTTAATCTTCTACATTGCGTTAAGATTATTATGTAGTATACAAGTTTTAATGCATAGCGTGCAATAAATAGGATTGTAAATTTTATATATCATAATTGTGAAAATTATGATTTGAAAAGTTACAATTTTAGCATATTGGGCTTAAATCAATTCGACTGGGACAATTACGGCGGTTATAACCGCAATAATGAAAAAACTAATTTGTAATTTTATACGTAATTACGGCGGTTTTAAACTGCCACATTAAGAAAAATAAAGGCCGCAAATAATAATGAATATTGTGGCGGTATTTGTAAGTCATTACGGCGGTTTAACGAAAACCGCCATAAAATACTTCTAGCGACGAGATTATGGCGTTTTCTCAAGCCGCCATTATTGCATTTTCTGGCGGTTATAAACCGCCGCTATATGCAAAAAATATCGCCACTATTAATCCGTTATTTTTTGTAGTGATGAATAATTAAATATCTTGAAGAAAATAGAGTTCTGAAAATGTTAGCTATTTGGGGTGGGAGCAAGGGGCAAGCAAGAAAATATGGGGACTTGGGGGAAGGGGAGGGGTGAGGGGGTGAGGAGAGTAGCATAAAATAATATTTTCTGCTCTCTAACCAAACACTAAAAAATATTTTCCGAAAATTTTTTTCACTCACCAACTAAACAAGGAAAAATAAGTGATAAAACTACTCATTTTCCATGAAAAACATTTTCCTTCGTACCAAACACACCCTTAAGTTCTCTTGTTTTGTTCCCTATATCGGTATATAGAATATGATCTTTTCTTTCTGAAAGGCTCTAAGGTAATATTAAATTCTCACTCATTCCATCTCCCTCACTCATATCTGTCACATCCCTTTTTCATTACACCTTGTGCGAGAGATCAAATTAGAAAAAAAAATTCACTTAAAGTGACAATTTTCTCATTTAACGGAATTGCCACTTGGAAGTGTGTTTTGGCATTTCAAATCACCTTATTGAATTCCTAATCAAAAAAAAAATAACTTCATTTTTTATAATGATCCGGCCGATCGTTTTGAGTATTACAACCCCGTTTCCCCATTTACTGCTCAAATTATACTTTACAATTGTTGTGTGAATTGCCGGGGTAATTGATTCGGGTCAGGTGAGGTTTTGGAATGACTTGAACACTTAGTTCTAAGGTTTAAAGCTTAAGTTAAAAATAGTGACCGGATATGGACTTATATGTAAACGACATCGGATTTGAATTTTGATAATTCCAATAGCTCCGTATGGTGATTTTGGACTTAGGAGCATGTCCGGAATATTATGTGGAGGTCCGTAGTGAAATTAGGCTTGAAATGGCGAAAGATGAAATTTTGGGAAGTTTGATCGGGGATTGACTTTTGGATATTAGGGCCGGAATCCGATTCTGGAAATTGGAATAGCTTCGTTATGTCAATTATGACTTGTGTGCAAAATTTGAAGTCATTCCAGATTGATTTGATATGTTTCGGCACAAGATATAGAATTTAAAATTTCAAAATTCATTAGGCTTGAATTGGGGTATGATTCGTGGCTTTGATATTGTTTGATGTGATTTGAGGTCTCGAGCAGGTTCGTGTTATGTATTGGGACTAGTTGGTACAATTGGACGGGGTCCCGGGGGCTTCGGGTTTGATTCAGGGTAGTTCCGGACCAAGTTCAGGTGTTTTAATGCTGATCATTGCTGGTTCTGGTGTTGTTCTTCGCGTTCGCGAAGAGCCTCTCGCGTTTGCGAAGAAGGATTTTGCTGTTGGGACTTTGTTCTTGACGTTCGCGAAGAGGTTCTCGCATTCGCGAAGAAGGAAATTTTGTTATTCGTCGTCTGATTTTAAAGGCTCGTATCTCGCAATCTATAAGGAATTTGGAGATGATCCAAAAATAAAAGTTGTAGCCCTTTGTATCTAGTTTTCAGAAAAGTAAACCATTTTCATTTGGAGTTATGTTCGAAATGTTATGGTAGATATACTATAGGCTGTCAGGGAAGAGTTTGGAAATCTCTGTTGCACAGGGCTAACTTTAGAAGCTTATATCTCGTAATTTATAAGGAATTGAGAGATGAGCAACAAATGAAAGTTTTAGCTCTTGGAGTCTAGTTTTCAGAAAGTCAAACCATTAATCATTTGAAATTTTGTACAAAAGGTTATGACCATTATACTAGAGGTTATTTGAGAAGAGTTTGAAAATGACTTTTGAAGAATTTGTTCATCGCGAACGCGAAGAACAAACCCCTCGGCAGCAGAATAAAGTCCAAATTCGTGTCATTCTTCCATTTTTGGACCAAGGAAGCTCGGGTGAGGCGATTTTTTGAGAGTTTTTCAAGGAAAATATTGGGTAAGAATTTCTAACTTGATTTTGGTTAAATTATATGAATCTATGGTTGTTTTTATCATTTAATTGGTGAATTAAGTTGGAAAAGTTTGAAACTCTCTTAGTTTAAATTGAAGATTTGAGGGTCGAGTTGGGGTCGGATGTTGATAAGATTGGTATGGTTACACTCGTGGTTGAATGTGCTTTCGGATTTTGTAACTTTTGTCGAGTTCCGAGACGTGGGCCAATTCTGAACAGCCTCAATCTTCTTAGGATCCTCCTTTATGCCTTCTGCCGATACAACATGTCCCAAAAGGCAACTGAGTCTAACCAAAACTCACATTTTGAAAATTTGGCATATAACTGATTATTCTTCAAGGTGTGAAGCACACTTCGAAGATGCTGCTCATGCTCCTCTCGACTGCTGGAGTAAATCAAGATATCATCAATGAATACAACCATACACGAATCCAAATAAGGCTTGAACATCCGATTCATCAAATCCATAAATGCTGCTGGAGCATTTGTCAACCCAAATGACATCACTAGGAACTCGTAATGCCCATACCGAGTCCGAAAAGCTGTCTTAGGGACATCAGATGCCCTAATATTCAACTGATGGTAACTAGATCTCAAATCAAATTTCGAAAATACCTTGGCACCCTGAAGCTGATCAAATAAGTCATCAATTCTTGGCAACGGATATTTGTTTTTGATAGTGGCCTTGTTCAACTGCCGATAGTCTATACACATCCGCATCGAGCCATCTTTCTTCTTTACAAATAATACTGGTACACCCCAGGGCGAGACACTGGGTCTAATGAATCCCTGATCAAGCAAGTCTTGTAACTGCTCTTTCAATTCTTTCAACTCTGGCGGGGCCATACGGTATGGTAGAAAAGAAATGGGCTGAGTGCCCGGAGCCAAATCAATACAGAAGTTAATATCTCTGTCGAGTGGTATCCCAGGCAGATCTGTAGGAAATACTTCTGAAAATTCACGAACAACTGGTACTGAGTCCATAGAAGGGACATCCGCACTGGGATCGCGAATATAAGCCAAATAGGCTAGACATCCTTTCTCTACCATACACTAAGCTTTCATATAAGAAATAACCCTACTGGCAGAATGGCCTGGAGTTCCTTTCCACTCTAATCGAGGTAACCTCGGCATAGCTAGGGTCACTGTCTTGGCATGACAGTCCAATATAACATGATAAGGAGATAACCAATCCATCCCCAAGATGACATCAAAATCTACCATATCAAGAAGTAGAAGATCCACACTAGTTTTAATATTACCAATAGTAACCACACACGAATGGTGGACATGATCTACTACCACAGAGTCTCCCACCGGTGTAGATACACACACAGAAGCACNATGATAAGGCCTCTTATCGGATCTCTGCCCTCTTTCCTGTGCAAGAACCATCTCGATCCTCCTTGCGACATTAGCAGCCGCCTGAAAAGAAATCTCACTTCCGGTCTTCTTGGCCATCTGAAGTCTGATAGGGTGAGTGAGTCCCTCAATAAACCTCCTTACTCTCTCTCCCTCCATAGGTAGTAAAAG